GTATCTCGAAAAATTCGTAAGGGGGGGCGTTCATAACTAGAGGTACCACTGTATTTAATCAGGTGTGTGGAAGCTGGGGGAAGGGAAAATTGCCCAAACTTGAAATAGATTCAATTGATTTTGGGTGATTTTTCTTTTCCTCCAAGCCCCTTATGCCACTTCCTACATTATTCAGTAGAGCCACACAATATTATGGAGTGTATTTTTCTAGGTGTACAGGCAACTGCGGGAGCTGTCATGGGAGCAGTAACAGTTTATTCTGTGAACTTCTTTATTCAGTAACTTCAATACTTCAGTAACTTAAGGATTTGAAACAATATGTTTTTGGAACTACAGGGGATGCTGAACCTGCCAAAGACCCATGACTCTTGTCTAAGACAAGCAGTTCATAGTATAGAATGAAGCATTAAAGAACTAAGTTTTCAAAACCAGTAGAATTATATATGGTCTGACAAGCCCTGGCTTAAATAAAATGAAATGAGATCCAAAGGCAAGATTTCAAATTCTTATCAAAGATTGCAAGTTCTGCGAACTCATACATCCTTATCAAATATATCTAATTATGCAGAACTCTGTTTTGATTTCTTGTGATTTTATTGTCTTTTTAGATAGCTCATGAACATTAAGAGGATTGAATCTAATCTATAGTTTTGGCATTCAGTGGCATTCAGTGATTTCTATCTATCCAGTATTGCTCCTATTCCCTTCCATGACAATATTGCCCATTTCATCATGGGCCTCACTTTATGAGGTAAGACGGTTTTTTTAAAAAGTTGCATTAACAACTTCCTTTCTGTCTGGGCCAGACGGGCTGGCGTGGAGGAGATTAGGAGGGGGCTTAGAACAGGCTGGAACATCACTGTGATTATGGGTAGGAGGAGATATGGCAGGAGGCAGGGGGCAGCTGTGCATGGGAAAAATGGCCCCAGTGTCTTATACTAGTTCTGGCCTCCTGTATTCAATCCCATTTCCCAACCATTAGACTTTCAGAGACTCTGAGTTTTGGTGGCTACTGCTGCTGCTAAGCACCAGGTCAGTCTGCAATAAGTCCTCCATCTGTGTCATGGATGGCTGACTTGGCATGCCTCACAAGGTATGGTTGGGCATGGAATGGGGAGTTCCCCTCTTGGAGATCTGCATGTCTGGATTTTGGGTGTGACATCAGCCAAGGGCTTGGTGCAGGAGTGGTGGAGTAACTATGGTCATCAGGGATAATCTGCTGGTGTTCAGAGGTGCTCTCTCATAGATAATTGGATGTGAGACCCATTTATTAAGAAGAGCTCTAGGGATCAGTTGGGACTGTTGCTACTATACCAGACTCCCTTGCTGCACAGCAACTTCCTTCCTGAGCTCCTGGACTCCGTGTCTGGAATAGTGATGGAGTTCCCCAGGCTTATGGTCTTGGTGGACTTCTACCTGCCTTCTCTGGGAGCAGAATTCATGGCACTGTGCTCAGGAGTTCATGGCCACTGTGGCAGCTATAGACATAACCAAGGCCATCAATCGCTTTATATATAATGGTGGTTATATGGTGGATCTGGTTTTTCTGTTGGGACAGTAGCAGAATGATCTGGAGTTGGGAGACACTGCCATCACACCCCTGTCATAGTCAGATCACTGATTGCCTTGGAGTTCTCTGGTGCTGCTCACTTCCACAGGAGGTTGGACCAATGTGTTTAGTCCAACCCAGGCCCAATGGACCCTACTAGGTACCGGGGGAGCTTGGGGTTGTTCCTGAAGATCTGTTGCATGGTCTGACTGAAGCCTTAGTTGCCGCCTCACATCAAAAAATCAAAGCTGAGGCTTTGGATTGGTTGCACTTATGCATTCTGTCACAGATCCTGGGGCTTTCCCTGGTTTACAGAGGAGCTGAGGGAAGTGAAACTGGAGAAGAATGCCTAGAACAATGCTGGAAGACAATGAGGGATGAATCTGAGCACAACCTAGTACTACTATTAAGGCCTACTTTGTGGCATTAAGGGCAGCCACACATTAATATTTCTTCACTCTTATTGGATCTGCAAATAGCCATCTGATGGTCCTGCAAATAGCCAACTTGGACCCTCTTGAGGAAAGCAGGACCATAGGCTTACTGTGATGAATATGCTAGGTACCTGTCAGATAAAGTTGCTCCAAGTTGGGCTCTGGCCTTGATGGAAGCCCATAGGCTTACTGTGATGAATATGCTAGGTACCTGTCAGATAAAGTTGCTCCAAGTTGGGCTC